GTCTGCTATAACTAGAAGAGTTACTTAACTGTGGGTGATTGATACTCCTTATTTCCTCCATTCACCATCTCATTTCGATGTCCTGCTACACCGACACGGTTCTTATTCCAGCAGGACGAGGTATCCGTTGGTTTGTCCCGGTTTAGAAGTCGTGACTCAATGAACTTCACTTTCCTCGTGACGGGAGCAACGTGGTCTAGCGTGTTCACGATATGATAGGACTCACAGGTAAGGACCCACGAGGGGCGAGGGGCAAGTGGGGACAGTGCAAAGAATAGATGGTGAGAGGAATGTCTTGAGTCGAAGAGAGAAGAGTCAGGACTAGACCCAACTGCTAAGCCTGGATAAACAATGACGAAGACGACATAGAAGACAGCAGGAACTCTGCAGGTGCTGACTGCAACTTGCTGGATGGAAGATTGCTGCATCTTGATGTTGATTGGGGGCTGGCAGAAGCTGGGGGCGTGGTCAAGGGAGGCTAGCTTCTTGATTGGTCAGTGTCGTGATAGTGTGAGTCAGGATTTACTTCATTTCTTCAGTTTGGAGGCTTTTCCTTATGTTGTGCAATTTTTGGTAAGAAACGAGAGTAGTCTTTAATTTTGGGGTCGAAATGCTGGGTCGGCTTGTAACGGGTCAAAGGTCATCTTGAGTGTTGTGAAGGAGCAGTGGGTTCCTCTACGATTTGTAAACTTGACTGTTCTGTCCGTGAAATTTTTCTCGTACAAAGTGTCGAAAATTCATGGTGGGTTTTTGGGTCAGAGTCATATAAAAAGTTATAGCGTGTTCACTCGGAGCAAGCCGACTTATTTCACTTCACGCATTCTCTTAACTTAGCGTTATTATCATTAATTACATTACAATTTACAAGACGATTTAATGTCTCAAAAATATTATACACATAAGAGTCACTCCATTAAGATCTGAGACCGAGAGTAAAGTTTAAAACCCAAAGGGAAATTTTTCCCCGGGACACAGTCCATGGTGACGCGCCAGTCACCACCGGTCCTACCCTTATTCACTCATTTTACCACTATTAAGGGGGTCCCGTAAATCACGTTTCCCTCACTCTCCACCGGGAACAGTTACGACACTTCTATTATGAAAATGAGGCCTATATTAATCCTAGGCCGCCGTGAACGCCAATTTCCTGGTTCCATGCTTTCCCACCTCCTCACACATTCAAAACAGCCCTCCCCCCCCCATCCCCAGGACCTATACCCCCACAAAATCCGCGCATCACAAAGGAACTCTTGGTCTATCCTATGTCAAAATACATTTTTACTCATATCGACACATTAAACCCTATTAGGCACTAAGTTTCGGAAAATTAAATATTTTCCACACTGGGCCGGGCGGAGGTCTTGCTAGACAACTTACATAATGTGGAGTACAATTTTCCCCACCTCACTGCCACCTGGCTTGGGAAACTCCAACATTGGTAATTTACATAATCACCCATTCTTTCCACCTGTTAACTCCTCAGGTGGGCTCCATCCAAACCCCCAGTCAACCTCCATGCATTCTTGGATTAAATTTCCCTCTAATTGTAAGGTTGACACTAAGCCTATCCCTCCTCGGGTTAATTGTTGGGCATACTGGAATTAGAGACTTTAACAATAAAAAAGTCTCTCTCATATCCCAAGTCAGCCCCAGCAAAATTACTGCATTAAAGGCACTTCAACTCCATGGCCATCCATATTATTGATCCCCTCAAATGGACTATTAACGTTCCTTTTCTCTCAGGGCATGAGCCTAGCTCCGGGGTTAATTTATTGGGCAACGGGAATTAGAGACTTTAACAATAACAATTCTCTCCCCAGTGTCCCAAGTCAGTCCCAGCACATTTACTGCATTTTTTCATTAACCCCTTTCACATACCTCATTAGTTCCTCTTCAGTTGAACGTCACACCGAAATTGTCCACATAAGATTTTTTTAACCCAATTATTCGCTCAGTGGACCCCCCTGTCACTAAGGTGGTGAAATTTATGGGCGCCTGAAGTAAACAATTTATTATTTAACCATTTATTAATTATATCATTATATAACACCCAACAATTTGGGGGCTTGCTCAGTTCGCAGAGCTGGGCCTTAACTGTTCCAAAACGCCATCCTTTTATTATAGTAATTCTGGACGGTCGAGCTTCCACGGAAGTCGCACCCAGTAATGTCCAGATTCCACATTTAACATCCTTCAGGTATTGTTCCTGAGTAAAGGAATCATTTGGACTTTCCTCATTTATATAATCCCTATGCTGTCCAGCTCCCCAAATTGGACTGGTTCAACATCATTCTCGATAGAAGAATACTTGTACTGGGTTGACCTTTTATGCAAGAAAACCGTGACTGTATTCACTACTTCCTCTAGTCATTATTATTTAGGCGGTAGTTTGCCATATATTACATGGCCCGTACCAGTGTTGAGGAGAGTGACGCCGCATGCTTTTGGATTTAATGCCCTTTATCCTGAATTATTACATCCAACGCCGGCAAGACTACCTCAGCTAGGCCATCTTTAAATTGCCATTAGCTGCAACCTTTACATCAGTCACTTTTAGTGTCGGGGTTATTAACATTATCATTATTGTCACCATTATTATAAGACTTACATACAACCCTGCCATAACTGTATGGTGCCTTCCCCTTGTTGCATTGATAGCAACTGTTCAATTTGGTATGACAATCCTTTACATTATGTTGTCTAGACATCTGATAAATCTGTCAATTTCCCTTTCATCCTCTCCACTTTAATATCCCATGAATTATAGGCATTACAATTTTTAGTGAAATGAGTACCCTGGCAAAAGGCAGTCTCTCTTTCCTTGCCTGACCTCTTATTAACGGGGTTACCCTTACTGAGGTACTTATTCCTCTTACCTTGATGTGAGGAACCACTATTATGATTCCTGACTTGATATGTGCCTATTTAACTCTTAACTATGATTATTACCACTGGGATTTTTTTTCCCCCTTTTGAACTTGACAGATACTTCAAGTCATTATGTGTTATATCCTTAGAACGTTTGGCTGACTGGTCTGCAATTGAACAATTAATTCCTGCCGCCCCGTACTCTGGGGGTTTTGGGCAAACCCACCCTTTGCTTTAATAGGTTGATACAACTGCCTGGCTTACACCCTTTAATTTATTCAAAGCCTTACTTTTACAAGACAGTTTTTCTTCCAATTGTAATGTTGATTAATTAAAACATTCATTTCCATTCCATCTGCACAATTCTCCAGCAATCTCTCTCACAGTCTTTAAACCCAATTTGTACTAATCAAATCTACTCTCTAAAGCATCTAAATATAACTTTAAATTCATTAGGGTTCACGGTTCTTTGATTCATTAAATCAAATCCCTTCGTCAAAATGGCTTTTAATAGCTTGTAATGATGCTTTATTACTCAAAAAATTCACGGACTTGTCAGCCACATTAACTCCATCAGATCCGTCATGGTTAGAGAATTTTTAATCACTGATTATACAACTTAAGTAGGCGCCTTATAAGTTTAAATTTTCTTACACTTTACTCTTGTATAAATCCTAGCCACACATGTGCTAGCAATTAACTGGGCTAATTATTATCCACCACACGATCGATTAAACTTGTGTACCCTATACCCACTTCCTTCAATCAGTCACTTAATTAAAAAGTAATTAATTCAATTAATTTTTAAATGATTGCATCCGGTTCAGGAAGGACCAGGGGGCAGATATGGAAAATTTTATAGGAGTGATTACTTGTACATACCTCAACAATACATGCATACGAGTAATCTCCTTGGAAGACAACAACGATATTGTTTACCATAGTCACCCATGTAGACATGTGGGGAAAACTTAACCACCTCTGGTCACTGCATTTGGGCCCCTCAAACCTCACAATTTTATCCATATCATCCGAGACCAGTATAAATTGGGTAGCACCCTCAAGTACGGGCGCTACAAATTAATTGTGGACTGTATAGATTATATTAGTTTAACTGAATGAAGGGGGAAGGGGTAGGTTACACAGGGATATACCCATCAAGGGAAAAAAACACTTGAAACATAATCCCACCACTTACCAGATATTCTCTGGTGGTCACTTGATGTGGCTGGATCACCCATAACCTATCCAATTACAACATACCTAACTGGCCAGTATCAGTCTGCTATAACTAGAAGAGTTACTTAACTGGGGGTGATTGATACTCCTTATTTCCTCCATTAAACCATCTAAATTTCGTGTCCTGCTACACCGACACGGTTCTTATTCCGGGCAGGACGAGGTATCCGTTGGTTTGTCCCGTTTAGAAGTCGTGACTCAATAAACTTCACTTTCCTCGTGACGGGAACAACGTGGTCTAGCGTTTCACTTCGAGCAAGCCGACTTATTTCACTTCACGCATTTCTCTTAACTTAGCGTTATTATCATTAATTACATTACAATTTACAAGACGTTTTAATGTCTCATAATTATTATACACATTAGAGAACACTCCATTAAGATCTGAGACCGATGAGTGATGAAAAACCCAAGGGAAAATAACAAAAAAGGCACAATACAGTGACAGGAACATACAAAATAACCCGCACAAAAAAGAGAGAAGCTTACGACGACGTTTCGGTCCGACTTGGACCTTTTGTCAAAGTCAACACTAACAGAGGGGGAGCAGGACGGCTATATATATGCAGGAAGAGTGGTGGATAGTAGTATAGTATAGTAGTAAGTAGTAGAAAGTAGTAGTAGTAGTAGTAGTACAAGAGTTGTATCTAATACCGACAAGATGAAATTAAGACACATGCACAACACCCGGGCATCCCCATCAAAAGCGTTCGCCATCGCAGCCACTGGATGGCGAAACGTCCACAACAAAGACAAAGAGGAAATTGTCTAATTTCATCAGTAGTTGTAGTAGTAGTAAGAGAAAAAAGAGGTAGTAGTAGTGGTAGTGGTAGAAGGGGGAAAAGGACGAGCCAGTCAAATACAAAGGAAGGGAGCACTGCAAGAGAGCTAAAATGCCACAGGGAGAGCAAGCGCACAGAGGTGCGTGAAAGGGAAGTGGTGAAATAAATGAAGAAGGAACAGAAACACGAGACAGAGAGAGAAAGACAACCCAGAGGAGCAAAGGAAAGAGGAAAGGGGAAGAGGAAAGAAGAAACAGAAAAAGAAAAAAGAAAAAATGAGGATTCAGGTTAAGTCACGGGTGTTCTGAAGTTTGAAGCATTTTACAATGTAGTGGGAAGGAAGGCATCTACAGAGACGAAGCCAGGGCTAAGGTTCATACAAGGAAAGTTGTGTTTTAAACAAGGATTCAACTAGACGGCGACTGTTCGAGTTGGAAGTAGGGAAGAAGTTTTAGCAGAAGACCAGTCAATAGGATGGCTATGATCTCGACGTGACAGAAAAGAGCATTGTTAGTGTCGGCAAGCCTAACACTATTTTTGTCTCCCTAATCTGTCAGAAAGAGATCGACCAGGGTTTTTCCGAAGTTGCGGGTTATTTGTGTAACCAAGGGTAATTTTCCCCGGACACAGTCCAGGTGACGCGCCAGTCACCACCGGTCCTACCCTTATTCACTCATTTTACCACTCATTATGGTGGTCCCGTAAATCACGTTCCCTCACTCTCCACCAGGAACAGTTACGACACTTCCTATTATGAAATGGGCCTATATTAATCCTTAGGCCCCCGTGAACGCCAATTTCCTGGTTCCATGCTTTCCCAGCCTCCCACTACATTCAAAACACTCCCTCCTCCCCCATGCCCCAGTTCGACCTATACCCCCCACATCCGCGCATGCGCAAAGGGAACTCTTGGTTCTATCCTATTGTCAAATACATTTTTGACTCATATCGACACATTAAACACCTATTAGGCACTATAGCTTCGGAAAATTAAAATATTTTCCACACAAAAGGATTTGTTTAAAAAGAGTTGCAATAATTGGTGACAAGACATGAGAAGCTTTTTTATACAGGTGGTGGTAAGTTATAAGGTTTCCTGCCTTGTTCTTTAGTGTTTTGATGATACGCAAGATTTCAGTAAGGTATGCCACGAAACAACTCAAGTGGCAGATTGTTTTAATTCATACTACACAATCGCATCAACAGTAGTGTGGAAAATTGCATTTATCTGAATGTAACTAATTATGTCATACAGTAAATGTAAACAAAGATAATTATTATTTTTCAATGTTGCATGACAAGTAGGAATTGGGACCCTAGTCGCAAAAAGTCCCCTTCGATACCTACCACTGTCATAAACCACAATTGCTCTGAACCTATAATTAAATGAAATAAACATAACCAGAATACTGGTAAATATATAAATTGTGGACTGTATATAAAAATTATAAATTGTTATATAAATACACAATTACATAACAGAAGGGAAAAAATTCTTATATCACTCCCCCAATTTTGACTGGAGATTAATGTTATCATACTCGAAAACCCCTCTAACTAAATCATAAAATAATGCTGGCCCGAAATTACCCCACAAATCAGAGAGCTTATCTGAGGTTCCTGAGCTGTCTTGTCCCAGTCGCCTGATTCTCAAGTTTATGCAGGAATGCACAAAAAACCAATATCGCCTCCCATTTGAGAGGTGCCAACACAATTTAACCTCTAGAGCACGAAAATTCTTCCCTTCACCAATGTTTGTTACAAATTCAAAACCAAATGGGGAGTCCTCCCTGCCCAGACGCAGCCTTTCCGTTTTTCTAATGACATAAATATTATTAAATACAGTATGGCCATCCTATTTTTCCTATAATTACTGAATTTTCTGGAAAATATATACAAGAAACTTTCCACAAGTAGTAATAAACTACCAGTGCATCAAGCACCTTTAACACAGACTCAATAATTTAAAACTACATATACCAATTAAAAGGTACCCCAAATAGTTGTCAACTATAAGTATATCTTACCCTCGTGCAAGAACTAAGCCGGTTAAACCAACTAAAGCACCGGCCATGATTTAAAATCCCGTCTAAGTCCTAAAATAAGGTGCCTCTGATTTCCCAAACCCCAAATTGTTCACATAATGAATTTGTCCAAACACCATTAGCCTTCAAAAGGGGCCAGATTTAAACTATCTCAAGAAAATAGTAGGGCTGATGTCACAACTATAGCCTTTAGTATACTTAGTTTAATATCCAAAATTCTAGAGAGGCGTGTAACTGTCCAAGTAGTTAAAGGCTTTCATTTACCCACGTTGGGGTTTCCATAAATATACATATTTTAATTTATTCATTAATCTATTAAGTGATTCATTAATTATTTAATAAGTGAAAAACTAAATGAATAATTATTCGTAATTGTTAGAATTTGCATAGACATCAAAGTTTTCATTTGATCTATAAGATCTCCATGTATATTTTTTCGTTATTTTTTTAAGCTATTATCGAATTTTCATTTATTGCCCCCCTGTTAAGTACTAATGAATAATTGTTTCGTAATTTTTAGAACTTTGGTTAGAGTTAAAGGTTGAGTTGGTTACCAAAACCATTCCTGGTTACCAAACTCTTTTTTAAAAACCATTAACACCTTCAACTCTTATTTACCTCGCATTTTTCTTTTTTTACCATTAAATTGTTGTGTCAGTGTTATTCCCCATTGCTTGGAACTTGTTTAACAGGAACTGACCGCATAAATAAGGGACCAAGTATTTTTATTTTAGCTATATATGGAGTTTTATGTAGTGTTACTGATGCTGATGTTATGTGTTTTAGAAGTGTGTCATTGCCAGTATAATACCTGTTTAAATTGATTTTTTGTTTGTGTTTGCAAACCACTTGTTATTTTAGTGTCACAAACTTTTTGACAAGCTTGTATATATTGAATAAATATCTTGCGAAGGAACCTTTCTGCAGTCCTACTGCCCTTTTACTAGCAAGTTCAACTCATTTATCCACACATACCCCATATATCCCGTCATCGTTTTCCTATGAATTATTTTTTTCCTATTAGGATGCCAGTAAAATAAGTCAAGGACCTAATGGGGGTATTAATACCTTTTTGGGGGGGTTATCTTAAAGTATTTTTTAAAAGATTTTTAATAATTTTTTTCAGCCTAAATCTATGCGGATTATAAGAACATATTCTTATGTGAGAAAATTGTAATCTTCTAAAATTGTACAATTGTACCTGTAAAATTAAATGTTTCACTTTTGGGATACTTCAACTTAATCTTTGACTGTTTTATAAGTACCCTGATATATCAGTTGCCAGCAAAGTCATCAAAAGTTTGAATTCCCGGGCCTCGGCATGTTATCCAGGTGGTTGATTTGGTAATTTGTTAAAATGTAACCAACAGCTATCCAAAAGCATAATTTAGGTTAGGTTATTCTAGGTTAGTACTTACTGGTAATTTTACTATTTTATGTATGGGAAAACTCTTTGTCAATAGGGAAATGTCACGAGTTTTTTTTTTTGACTCATCATTGACTTGGTATTGTCAGTGGGTTCACTGGCATTCCTTTGAAGATGCCATTAATAGTATGTATAGACACACTGTCCCAGGCCCCAGACTCAGCATTTAATATTCATCCAAAATTAGTCCTCACGAAAGCTGGTTCATCTGTATGTGGGGAAATGGGGCAGAAGCAAAGGTGCAGGAATTGTGCTTAGGTGACAACTGTCTCTCAAGAGACGAAAAGTCCACATTTGCCTTTTTGTTAATTTTAGGGAAATTTCCCATGGACAAAAAGTACCACATTTGCATTTTTTTTAAGGGTGGGGATATAGCCAATGGATAAAAAGCCCCATACTTTTTTTTAATGGTAGGGATATTTCCCCACTCATCAGAATTAGTGTTGAAAAGAGATTTTGCTTTCATTTATAATACTGTGTTGTTATTGTAAATTTTATATTACAAAGGTCTGCATAAGTAAAAAGGTTTCCAATATAAATTTGATATCCACAGATGACCTTGAAACCTTCACACCATGCATAGATGACCGTGAAAAGGCTTCCATAATTATTAACCCATGGAAAGCAGCCATTTTAAAAGTTGGATACTTGTTTGATGATGATGGTTCTCCAGCTAGCCATAAAATCCATGAGTGCAAGGTTTGTCTATTTAACCACTTATGTAGGGATTTATTGTATACCAGATTGAGGGAGATAACATGATAAACTGAATAAAAATGTTTAAAGAGGCAATCCTTTCATATAAGCTTATTTTCAGGATTCAGGCCCAGCTAGTAAAAAAAAAAAAAAAAAAGCTTATGTGGCTTTATTTAGATCTTCTGATGTCCAAAACTTTATTTAAATGGTCCAAAAATTCACAGGTTGAAATTGGTAATAAAGTATGGGGTAGGGTAAAATTTGAGAGGCCCTCGTAGCCTATTAAGCTTTTGTGTTAGTTTGGCCCTCATGATACACCAATACTGTTCAAGAATAATTTTAGTTATACCACTTGTCATTGCTGAATGATATTCAGATATACTACTACTGTGTTAATGGAAGTCATTAATGCAAAGTATTAAGAGTTTTAACTGGTGTCCAGTGTCATTTAGTGGCAATATAGTTGCACTCGCTCCAAGCAGGCTGGCCAGAGATAGGCCAGTAATGGCACATTTAATGCATGTCACCAGTATTTTCAACTTTTCCTTTAACCCTTTGACTGTCACAAGCCCCTTTCTGAACTGTCATTCTGTGTCGCAAAATTTTTGGAGAAAAAAAATTATTTTTTCTTATGAAACGATAGAGAATCTTTTCCCGATGATAATGACACCAAATCACGGAATTACTCTCCCGCGAAGTTAGCGGTCTCGGCGACATATACGCCTCGGTGATTTTGCCGAATTTGAGCCCTGTTTTTGGCCAATTCTGTTGTTCCAGTTGACCAAACTCATAGCTATTTCTTTAGAACTCCATTTTTTTCTATCAGTTGAGTACAAGAAACCGCCCATTTACTGATTTGAGCTACCCAATAAAGTGGTCAGAAATTGGTAATTTGGCCAATTTCACACAAATTATAAAAGATGCCAGTTTCATAATAGGGTCCAGAATAAACAATGTAGACATTCCTGGCACTCAAATAGCATATCCTTTGTTCATTAGTCACATCTCTAGGCCCTTCTTATATTACTATTGCTTTCTATTTTTATTTTTTATTCATACCAAAAATACAAAATTTACTGTTATGCAGACTACTGCATTATTGTAAAAATGGTATAAATAATATCAGTGCACTGGTGAAAGAATATTAGACTCCCCAGTTGATGTGTATTGGACGTGTGGTGCGATTTGCTTACCCCTGAACATAGGTAAAAATCGAACATTTCCGCTACTTTGAGCTCAATTTCAAGGTCGTTTTCATCGTGAAACTAATCAAAATCATCTCTATTTCTGTAACATGTTTTCCATTTTATCACGTGAGACCAGGAAAATGAGAATACAACGATAAATACTCTACGAAAATGCACCTCAAAAATCGGCGTTTTAATAAAAAAAAACAGTCAGTTTTTTTTTTCTCATTGTGCACTGCGTGCTGCAGGATTTTTTTATGTGGTGCACACTGACCACACAGACCCATTCTCTAACATGTGGGCCTACCAGCTTTCTCCTGTTTGATTTGAAGCTGCTAGAATTTACGCATATTAATACGTCTGAAACAGTGGCACGTAAGACGTAAGACAAAACAGTCAAAGGGTTAAGGAAACGCTACACAAGGTCACCCAAAAAAGTTTTATTTTATTTTATTAGCACAATCAGCCAATTCCCACCAAGGCAGGGTGGCCTAAAAATGAAAAACTTTCATCATCATTCACTCCATCACTGTCTTGCCAGAGGGGTACTTTACACTACAGTTATAAAACTGCAACATTAACACCCCTCCTTCAGAGTGTAGACACAGTACTTCCCATCTCCAGGACTCAAGTCTGGCCTGCCAGTTTCCCTGAATCCCTTCATAAATGTTACTTTGCTCACACTCCAACAGCACGTCAAATATTAAAAACCATTTGTCTCCATTCACTCCTATGAAATATGTTCAGGCATGCTTGCTGGGAGTCCAAGCCCCTGGCACACAAAACCTCCTTTACCCCCTCCCTCCAAACCCTCTCTAGGCTGACTCCTACCCCACCTTCCCTCCACTAGAGATTTATACACTCACGAAGTCATTCTGTTTTGTTTCATTCTCTCGACATGTCTGAACCACCTCAACAACCCCTCCTCAGCCCTCTGGATAATAGTTTTGGTAATCCCACACCTTCTCCTAATTTCCAAACTACGAATTTTGTGCAATATATTCACACCACACATTGCCCTCAGACATGACATCTCCACTGCCTCCAGCCTTCTCATTGCAACATTCATCACCCATGCTTCACACCCATACAAGAGTATTGGTACAGCTATACTCTCATACATTCCCCTTTTTGCTTCCACAGACAAAGTTCTTTGTCTCCACAACTCCAAGTGCACCACCGCCCCCTTCCCCCCCCCCCCCCATCAATTCTATTTATTCGCCTCATCCTTCTTAGACCCATCTGCTGACACATCCACTCCTAAATATCTGAATACATTCACCTCCTCCATACTCTCTCCCTCCAATCTGATATCTAATCTTTCATCACGATCTTTTTGTTATCCTCATAACCTTACTCTTTCCTACATTCACTTTTAATTTTCTTCTCTTACTTTACCAAATTCATCCACCAACCTCTGAAACTTTTCTTCTCACCCAAAAAGTGTAATGAGAAAACATAATATAAAAAGCTATCAGTGATTTTTAGGTTAGCTTTTATTGTATTTATACTTTGCTCATTACCAAAGATAATCTGTGTCATGTATATTTTCAGGTTACTGTAAATACAAAGGAAGATTTTGGTTTAGCTGCTGTGATTGAAGAAATGAAGATCACAGGAACACAAGACAAACACACAAATGGTTGGGTGTGTCATGGTGATTATGTTAAGGTAAGTTAAAGTTACTGAGGAAAGGAAACTGGGAAATATGGAAGGAAATTTGTAACATTTGGATAAGTATTTGATAGTAGGGTGGTATGGTTGTGCTCAGATGAAAAGTGAAAAAGGAGAGAATGAAAGGTGGAATATCATTTCTGTTGTCTCCAAAAGTATGGATGGTTCCAAAATCTTATGGTTCAGAAAACAACATGGTACTGAAGATCAGCTGTTGTGAAAGTGTGATTAGGTCCTGTGCACATCGTTTGTAAGTGTGGAAGTGTGTAGCTTTGGGTGTTTGTAAGTTGTGGACTTCTTGCATTTCTCAGATGGGTTCCATTAATTTGACTTGTGAAGATGTAAAACTGAGTTAATGTGAGCACTTATGAGAGGACATTATTAATGTTGATAAATATGTAACTCCTTTAATTTTAACCCAGTTGTTGAACAGTTAATATAATTTTACATTTTTTAAATTATATTTTACAAACTTGCATCAGTGTAGGCTTTAATGTATTGTAGATTTCCCCCTTATCTCACTCTGGTAAATTAAAATCATGATTTACATGTAGCATAAAAAAAAAATTCTATTTGTTTTGTGAGGACACTGTGCACTAATTTTAAACATTCTTTCTGCTTCAGCTCAGTACTTCTGGCCCATCATTTTGGTCAAAGTTAATTAGTTCACTTCCTTTTGGTTTGTTCAAGAGCAAGTCAACTGAAGAATTATGTGGAACTCGAAAGAAGAGGCAATTGTAAGTTGTAAACTCTATTTACCTGCATCCTAATGGCAGTTATTTAGCACCCCAGAAAATCACCCTAGATTTATAGCATAATAATAAAGAAAGCATTAAAAAAAAATTAAACATAGTTCCTTAATTTCTTCCAAGGTTGCATCCCAGGGTTGGGTTGTGACCTTGGGTTTGGGAACCCCTAGTATAAGAATAATGTTTATTATTAACAAGTTGACACAAAACTATTGAAGAATAAGTGCAATATACATTACAGACACCAAATTGTGTCTGTAATGTATATTGCAAAATAGTATTTTAGTTTACTTCATTCATGTGCTCATTATTCTGAATACGTATTTTTTTTTTTTTTTTCAACAAGTCGGCCATCTCCCACCGAGGCAGGGTGACCCAAAAAGAAAGAAAATCCCCAAAAAGAAAATACTTTCATCATCATTCAACACTTTCACCTCACACATAATCACTGTTTTTGCAGAGGTGCTCAGAACACAACAATTTAGAAGCATATACGTATAAAGACACACAACATATCCCTCCAAACTGCTAATATACGTATCCATTATTAAAATTGGTTTCTATTTGAAGATTCATTCATTTTAAAATTTATTTTAAAGAGTAGATCATGATTTGAGAATGGTAGTAATATTTAAAAAAACTTGTTGATGTAAGTATTTGGCAAAGATACAGAAGTTATTCTACTGTGGCTGATTAAATGAAAATTTAATTTTTTTTTTCAACAAGTTGGCCGTCTCCCACCGAGGCAGGGTGACCCAAAAAAGAAAGAAAATCCCCAAAAAGGAAATACTTTCATCATCATTCAGCACTTTTACTTCACTCATACATAATCACTGTTTTTGCAGAGGTGCCCAGATACAACAGTTTAGAAGCATATATAAAGATATATAACATATCCCTAGTAGGTTGGTAGACAGCAACCACCCAGGGAGGTACTACCATCCTGCCAAGTGAGTGTAAAACGAAAGCCTGTAATTGTTTTACATGATGGTAGGATTGCTGATGTCTTTTGTCTGTCTCATAAATATGCAAGATTACAGGTATGTCTTGCTACTTACACTTAGGTCATACTACACATGCATGTACACATTTATTTATACACACTCATCTGAGTTTTCTTTGATTTTATCTTAATAGTTTTTGGTTCTTATTACTTTTTCTTTTATATCCATGGGGAAGTGGAATAAGAATCTTTCCTTCGTAAGCCATGCGTGTTGTAAAAGTCGACTAAAATGTCAGGAACAATGGGCTAATAACCCCTTTTCCTGTAATAATTACTAAAAAGAATACGAAGAAAATTGTTAAAGTGGGATGTCTGAATGTGCGTGGATGTTGTGCAGATGATAAGAAAGAGATGATTGTGGATGTTATGAATGAGAAGAAGCTGGATGTCCTGGCTTTAAGTGAAACAAAGCTGAAGGGGGTGGGAGAGTTTCAGTGGAGAGGAATAAATGGGATTAGATCAGGGGTTTCAAATAGAGTTAGAGCTAAAGAAGGAATAGCAATAATGTTGAAGGATAAGGTATGGCAGGAAAAGAGGAACTATAAATGTATTAATTCAAGGATTATGTGGAGTAAAATAAAGGTTGGATGTGAAAAGTGGGTTATAGTAAGTGTATATGCACCTGGAGAAGAGAGAGGAGAAGAGAGATTTTGGGAAATGTTGAGTGAATGCGTGGAGAGTTTTGAACCAAGTGTGAGAGTACTTGTGGTTGGGGATTTCAATGCTAAAGTGGGTAAAAATGTTGTGGAGGGAGTAGTAGGTAAATTTGGGGTGCCAGGGGTAAATGAAAATGGGGAGCCTTTAATTGAGCTATGTGTAGAGAGAGGTTTGATAATAAGTAATACATATTTTATGAAAAAGAGGATAAGTAAATACACAAGGTATGATATAGCACGTAATGAAAGTAGTTTATTAGATTATGTATTGGTGGATAAAAGGTTGATGGATAGGCTCCAGGATGTACCTGTTTATAGAGGGGCAACTGATATATCGGATCATTATTTAGTTGTAGCTACAGTTAGAGTAAGTGGTAGATGAGACAAGAGGAAAATGACGACAACAAATAAGAGGGAGGTGAAAGTGTATAAATTAAGTGAGAAGGAAGTTCGGGTGAGATATAAGCAACTATTGGCAGAAAGGTGGGCTGGTGCAAGTATGAGTAATGGGGGGGGGGGGGGGTTGAGAGGGTTGGAATAGTTTTTAAAAATGCAGTATTAGAATGTGGGGCAGAAGTTTGTGGTTATAGGAGGGTGGGTGCAGGAGGAAAGAGGAGTGATTGGTAGAATGATGAGTGTGATAAAAGAGAAAAAGGTAGCTTATGAGAGGTTTTTACAAAGCAGAAGTGTTATAAGAAGAGTAGAGTATATGGAGTAAAAGAAAGGTGAAGAGAGTGGTGAGAGAGTGCAAAAGGAGAGCAGATGATAGAGTGGGAGAGGTACTGTCAAGGAATTTTAATAAAAAGAAAAAATTTTGGAGTGAGTTAAACAAGTGGAACAAATGGATTTATCAGTTAACAACAGAGAAGGGGAGTTAGTAGATGGGGAGTTGGAGGTATTGGGTAGGTGGCGAACTTTTAAATGTCGACGAAGAAAGGGAGGCGGTAATTTCGTGCAATGGCCAGGGAGGTATATCATATTTTATAAGTGAAGAAGAGCAGGATGGGAGTGTGGGGGAGGTGCGTGAGGCATTACATAGAATGAAAGGGGGTAAAGCAGCTGGAACTGACGGGATCATGACAGAAATGTTAAAAGCAGGGGGGGACATAGTGTTGGAGTGGTTGGTATTTTTGTTTAATAAACGTATGAAAGAGGGGAAGGTACCTAGGGATTGGCAGAGTGTGTGTATAGTCCCTTTATATAAAGGGAAGGGGGACAAAAGAGATGTAAAAATTATAGAGGAATAAGTTTACTGAGTATACCAGGAAAAGTGTACGGTAGGGTTATTATTGAAAGAATTAGAGGTAAGACAGAATGTAGAATTGCGGATGAGCAAGGAGGTTTTAGAGTGGGTAGGGGATGTGCATATATTTGAGCAGTATTTAGATAAAGGTAGGGAAGTTTTTATTGCATTTATAGATTTAGAAAAGGCATATGATAGTGGATAGGGGAGCAATGTGGCAGATGTTGCAAGTACATACAGTGGACCCCCGCATACCGTTGGCATCACATAACGTTAAATCCGCATACCGATACATTTTATCGCTAAGATTTTGCCTCGCATACTGCTAAAAAACCCGCTCAACGCTATTCGTCCGAGACGCGTCTAATGTGCGGCCTGAGCCAGCCTCGCATGTTCCGCCGGTGGCATTGTTTACAAACCAGCCTCCACGGTAACATCCAAGCATACAATCGGAACATTTCGTATTATTACAGCATTTTTGGTGATTTTATCTGCAAAATAAGTGACCATGGGCCCCAAGAAAACTTCTAGTGCCAACCCTGTGGTAAAAAGGGTGAGAAATATTATCGAAATACTGTGGTACCATGGTCAACTGCTGATGCTGCTGCTGCTGTAGCACTGTCAGCTGCTGCTGCTGTAGCACCGTCAGCTGCTGCTGCTGCTGTACCACCGTCAGCTGCTGCTGCTGCTGTAGTACCGTCTGCTGCTGCTGTAGCACCGTCTGCTGCTGCTGTAGCACTGTCAGCTGCTGCTGCTGCTGTAGCACCATCAGCTGCTGCTGCTGCTGTACCACCATCAGCTGCTGCTGCTGCTGTAGTACCATCTGCTGCTGCTGTAGCACCATCTACTGCTGCTGTAGCACTGTCAGCTGCTGCTGCTGTAGCACTGTCAGCTGCTGCTGCTGCACTGTCAGCTGCTTCTGCTGCTGCTGTAGCACTGTCAGCTGCTGCTGCTGTAGCACCGTCAGCTGCTGCTGCTGCTGTACCACCGTCAGCTGCTGCTGCTGCTGTGGTACCATCTGCTGCTGCTGTAGCACCGTCTGCTGCTGCTGTAGCACTGTCAGCTGCTGCTGCTGCTGCTGTACCACCGTCAGCTGCTGCTGCTGCTGTAGTACCGTCTGCTGCTGCTGTAGCACCGTCTGCTGCTTCTGTAGCACTGTCTGCTGCTGCTGTAGCACTGTCAGCTGCTGCTGTAGCACTGTCAGCTGCTGCTGTAGCACTGTCAGCTGCTGCTGCTGCTGCTGTAGCACCGTTGCTGGTGTGGCTTATTGAGAATACCAAGAAACAATTAACCCCAGAGGGTTAGCCACCCAGGATAACCCAAAAAAGTCAGTGTCATCGAAGACTGTCTAACTTATTTCCATTGGGGTCCTTAATCTTGTCTCCCAGGATGCAACTCACACCAGTCGACTAACACCCAGGTGAACAGGAAAAAATGCCTGGAACTAGTGCTCGTATTGCTGAATTTAAAGCCAGCAGAGGTTGGTTTGAGAGATTTAGGAATCGTAGTGGCATACACAGTATGATAAGGCCTGTTCTGGAAGAAAATACCAAACAGGACCTACAGTACTCAGGAGGAAAAGGCACTCCCAGGACACAGTGTCTCATCAGTCATTGCTGCATCTTCAATAAAGGTAAGTGTCATTTATTCATTTAGTAGAGTAGTACATGCACAATATATATTGTGCATGTACTGCTCTACTATTGTGCATGTATCCTTCTCTTTGTGTTTAGGAAAATGTATATTTCATGTGGTAAAAATTTTTTTTCATACTTTTGGGTGTCTTGCACGGATTAATTTGATTTCCATTATTTCTTATGGGGAAAATTCATTCGCATAACGATAATTTCGCATAACAATGAGCTCTCAGGAACGGATTAATATCGTTATGCTGGGGTCCACTGTATATGGAATAGGTGGTAAGTTACTAAATGCTGTAAAGAGTTTTTATGAGGATAGTGAGGCTCAGGTTAGGGTGTGTAGAAGAGAGGGAGGCTACGTCCCGGTAAAAGTAGGTCTTAGACAGGAATGTGTAATGTCACCATGGTTGTTTAATATACGTATTTATAGATGGGGTTGCAAAAGAAGTAAATGCTAGGGTGTTCGGGAGAGGGGTGGGATTAAATTATGGGGAATCAAATACAAAATGGAAATTGACACAGTTACTTTTTGCTGATGATACTGTGCTTATGGGAGATTCTAAAGAATAAAAATTGCAGAGGTTAGTAGACGACTTTGGGAGTGTGTGTAAAGGTAGAAAGTTGAAAGTGAACATAGAAAAGAGTAAGGTGATGAGGGTATCAAATGATTTAGATGAAGAAAAATTGGATATCAAATTTGGGAGGAGGAGTATGGAAGAAGTGGATGTTTTCAGATATTTGGGAGTTGACGTGTCAACGGATGGATTTATGAAGGATGAGGTTAATCATAGAACTGATGAAGGGAAAAAGGTGAGTGGTGCGTTGAGGTATATGTGGAGACAAAAAACTTATCTATGGAGGCAAAGAAGGGGATGTATGAAAGTATAGTAGTACCAACACTCTTATATGAGTGTGAAACTTGGGTTGTAAATGCTGCAGCGAGGAGGCGGTTGGAGGCAGTGGAGATGTCCTGTCTAAGGGCAATGTGTGGTGTGAATATTATGCAGAAAATTCGGAGTATGGAAATTAGGAGAAGGTGTGGAGTTAATAAAAGTATTAGTCAGAGGGCTGAAGAGGGTTTGTTGAGGTGGTTTGGTCATTTAGAAAGAATGGATCAAAGTAGAATGACATGGAGAGCGTATAAATCTGTAGGGGAAGTATTACAACCCAGGAATCCAAATGGCCTGTTATCCTGGGTGTAATGGGAGCAAAATAAACACAGCAGAAAAAGTTTAAACTTTTATTTTCCTTCACCAATTTAGAACAGCAATATGTACACTATGTACAGTGATAAGTATAGTGCACTTCACGGTAAGCAAGGCAGAAATAGAAGCCACAAGATAGCAGACCGTGCTTCAACCAGCTCTAGAATGGGAATGACCAGGGCAGACAGGAGATTGGTACCCACATAACCTCTGCGATTGCCAAAACCATCTTCTTATTGGCTAGAACCTGGTCCCTAGTTGAATGACGGGGCCCCATCATCAACTCTTAGCAACCTGGTTCGCTGGTTGGGGGAGATAGCCTGTAAATGAGGCTGTGTACATGCGCCGAATAAAGGTTACGTACTCCTTGCATGCCGCAGGAAGGAAGGCGGAGTAGGGGTCGTCCTCAAAAAGATTGGAGGGAGGGGGTAAAGGAGGTTTTGTGGGTAAGGGGCTTGGACTTCCAGCAAGCGTGCGTGAGCGTGTTAGATAGGAGTGAATGGAGACGAATAGTATTTGGGACCTGACGAGCTGTTGGAGTGTGAGCAAGGTAATGTTTAGTGGAGGGATTCAGGGAAACCGGTTATTTTTATATAGCTGGACTTGAGTCCTGGAAATGGGAAGTACAATGCCTGCACTCTAAAGGAGGGGTTTGGAATATTGGCAGTTTGGAGAGATATATTGTGTATTTTTATACGTATATACTTCTAAGCTGTTGTATTCTGGGCACCTCTGCAAAAACAGTGATTATGTGTGAGTGAGGTGAAAGTGTTGAATGATGAAAGTATTTTCTTTTTGGGGATTTTCTTTCTTTTTGGGTCACCCTGCCTTGGTGGGAGACGGCCGACTTGTTGAAAAAAAAAAAAAAAAAAATAAACAAATAAGAAAGGATTAATACATTTTCTTAACTAATGATCTTATTTCAGGTTTAGTGAAATTGGTTCCAGTGCAAATATACTTTCCACACTAGCAAACAACTTGGAAGTGCTGTTTCACCAACGGCAGAGCAGAGACTATCCAGTAAACAATACCTTCACCATTGTTATTACAGCATTTAAACACACAAAAGATGAAGGTAGGTACATTTAATTATTTTCTTTGAAGGCTACCATTCACTGTCACTCTAACCTGCTCTTATAGGATTAAGTTCATTAACCCTTTGAGGGTCCAAGAATTTAAAAAAAAAAAAATGTTTGCTCTTATTTTTATGAAATGGTAGAAAATCTTTTTCTGAAGGTAATAAAACAAATGTAAGAAATTTGATGGAAAATTGGCAAAATTACGTTATCACGAATTTTACTGCATAAGTGAGGGTGTGTAAAGGTAGAAAGTTGAAAGTGAACATAGATAAGAGTAAGGTGATGAGGGTATCAAATGATTTAGATAAAGAAAAATTGGAATCTCACATTGGAGAGAGGGAATATGGAAGAAGTAAATGTTTTCAGATATTTGGGAGTTGACATTTCAGCAGATGGGTTTATCAAGGATGAGGTTAACCATAGAATTGATGAAGGAAAAAAGGTGAGTGGTGCATTGAGTTATATTTGGAGACAAAAAATGTTATCTGTGTAGGCAAAGAAGGGAATGCATGAAAGTATAGAGGTACCAACTCTTATATGGGTGTGAAGCTTGGGTTGTAAATGCTGCAGCGAGGAGGTGGTTGGAGGCAGTGGAGATGTCCTGTCTAAGGGCAATGTGTGTTGTAAATATTATGCAGAAAATTCGAAGTGTGGAAATTACGAGAAGGTGTGGAGTTAATATAAGTATTAGTCAGAGGGCTGAAGAGGGGTTGTTGAGATGGTTTGGTCATTTAGAGAGAATGGATCAAAGTAGAATGACATGGAGAGCATATAAATCTGTAGGGGAAGGAAGGTGGGGTAGGGGTCATCCTTGAAAAGGTTGGAGGGAGGGGGTAAAGGAGGTTTTGTGGGCGAGGGGCTTGGACTTCCTGCAAGCGTGCGTGAACATGTAGATAGGAGTGAATGGAGACAAATAGTTGTTGGTACCTGACGAGCTGTTGGAGTGTGAGCAGGCTAATATTTAGTGAAAGGATTCAGGGAAACCCATTATTTTTATATAGCTGGACTTGAGTACTGTAAATGGGAAGTACAATGCCTGCACTTTAAGGGATGGGTTTGGGATATTGGCAGTTTGGAGGGGTATGTTATATATCTTTATATATGCTTCTAAACTGTTGTATCTGGGCACCTCTGCAAGTACAGTGATTATGTGTGAGTGAGGTGAAAGTGTTGAATGATGATGAAAGTATTTTCTTTTCAGAGATTTTCTTTCTTTTTGGGTCACCCTGCCTCGGTGGGAGACAGCCAACTTGTTGAAAAAAAAAATAAGCCGTAGATTAATATTAGTGTCATACTGAAGGATTATCTTCTGTCTCCAGACACACACTCCTCCCACTGCCACAATTCCTAACATACTTAATGACATATCTTATTCATACATCAACGAGTCTTCAATAAAAGTAAGTGTGATGTTGTTATTGTTTTATTCTTCATGTCTCATTGTTTTCTGTGTATGTAAATCAATATTTCATGTAAAAAAAATTTTTTTTTTGTTAATAATTTTGGTCTGAAACGGATTAATTGGATTTACATTATTTCTTATGGGGAAAATGGTTTCACAAATCGTCAGTTTCACCATTAGTCACACACTTTGTAATGGATTAATTACGAAAAACGAGGGTCCACTGTATTACTTTATTTTATCGATTGAGCACAAGAAACTGCCCAGTCAACTATTTCAACTAACCAATAAAGTGATCAGAAATTGGTAATTTGGTCAATTTCACACAAAGTTCAGAATATTCCAATTTCAAAATAGGGTCCAGAATAAACAATGCAGGCATTCCTGGCACTAAAACACATTTCCTCTGTTTATTAGTTACATTTCCAGGCTTTACAGATGAATTCCATTTTGATTTTTTATTTACATAAAAAGTTTTTATTCACACCAAAAATTAAAAGATTTACTGTTATGCAATATTGTAATAATTGTATAAATAATATTAGCACATCTGTGAATGTATATTAGACCCACCAGTTGATGTGTATTGAACATTGGCAAAAATCGAACCTTTTCACTACCTTGAGCTCAATTTCAAGCTATTTTCAGTACTAAAACCAATCAGAATCATCTCTATTTCTGTAATATATTTTTCATTCTATCAAGAAATTGTAAATACAGCCGTAAAAATCATACAAAAATAAACTGCAAAGTCAGTGTTTTAATCCATAATGTCACATTTTTTCTGATTATGCACTGCGGGCTGCAGGATTTGTTTTATATGGTGCACACTTACCACGTAGATGTATTTTCTCATATCTAGCCCCATATTTACCACTCACAGCTTATCTAAGAGCTGAGCTCATGACGTAGAACTATGGCTTAGACCCTCAATAGGTTAATGTCCTTGCTTCAAGATCCTACAATTGAAGTTATGATAACAGTGCACAATTGACGGAAATGTTGTCTAGAACTTCCTCTCCAAATTGTAGATTTGATGTGAATCAGCAGATTTAATGGTAAATATGAAAAATCATGATATTAAAAAATTGTCTAATCTGAATTTATAGTTTGAATAAACTGTAAATTATTGTTAAAATTTCATACATGTAATACTCATGGTAGAAATATTTATATTAAAGTGATTGCTATGATAATTTGTTATTAATATTGGCAGAAAAATTATTTGATAAAAATAAAAGTTTTGATTAGTTTTAATTTCCTAGTTATTTCAGATTTATGACTGAACATTTAAACTACTTAATTTATTAATAGGAATGTTTTTTATGTGCATTTTTTTTTTTAAATTAATCTTTTTTGTGCTGTAACATTAATCTATTAAATAATTATTTTACTTAAATATTCAGATTTCTTATAAAAATAATCTTTTTAATGATCATTTTTTTTGTCTTAATGGACAGTCATTTAGGCCATATTTGTGCTATCAAGTAAAATTCTTATGCTTCAATATATACTAAAATGGGCATATGTTAAGAGACTTAAAAATCAAATTAAGGAAATTTTTCTGTATTTTTTCTGATCGCATTTAACGCCTGCTTGATGATGTAGATAAGGATGGCTACAGGTTTCTTTCTTCAACACACCGGCCATATCCCACCGGCTACAGGTTTATGAAGCAATAAATATGTTAATGCAAATTACATTTTCTCATATCCACCATGGTATAATCTTAGAAAATGACCAGTACATTAATGTTTTATACCCAATTTCTTTCACATCTTTTTTTTTTTTTTTTTTGGGGGGGGGGAGGATGGGCAGGATGAAATTCATAATTGCATACTGTTAAAGTATATTTATTCTGATGCTTTTATATAGGTGTTAGGTATGGTCTTTGAATGCTGCAGTGAGAAGGAATTTGGAGGCAATGTAGGTGTCATTCTTGAAATCACTGTTGATGTATGAATATAGTGAAGAGAATAATGGTATAAATCTTATATAATTAAAGTGGGCAGAAGTGATATTGTTGAGATGGTTTTGTTTTGTTGAAAGAATGGAGCTAGGCAGATTGATTAGGAGGGTGTATAAATCAGGCATGTATAAAAGGTGGTGAAGAGTGTCCAAATTAGAGTTGGAATAAGAATGCAAAGGATGTTTTGCAAGGCAGGGCTTTGATATTGAAAAGCTTATATGTAAAATGGAAAGTAACATAATGATGTTTAGTATTAATGGTAGAATTACTAACAAAGTGATAGGTATAAGGACACAGATGCAACTAATGTGACATTTTATTGTGGCAGTGCTTTACTCTCCAGGAGTTTTGTCAAGTTATTGCCACAATAAAATGTCATATTAGTTGAATCTGTGTCCTTTTTACTTAACATGACAGTGTTTATTTAATTATACATATAATAAGGATTTTTTAAAGCAATTTTTTTCTTGATAGCACAAGTAACAACTGATTTTGTGAAATGTTCTTTAATACCTTTATATTCACCTTAAGAATTTTCTTCTCTTGTTACAGTACACTGAGATAAAAAAAAATGGTATGAATAACTACAGTCAAACCTTCCTCTCCTTCAAATCACTAATATGAATTGAGCTTGGCATTTGTAGAAGTGCATGCATTATGCAAAACTAACACTGCTTCTAATTAAGATAATTGTTGTTGCTTGCAACCTGAACTAGTAAGTATTATTTGGCTCCATGTATGGGTGAGAGAAATAGCACTGTGTATAATATTTTTTAGGCAGGGCCAGCATATAATGCAATTTAGTTCATAAAATGGAAAGCATCTTGATCCATTGAATTGAAGTATTCACATGTGTAGGCTTCACTGCTTGCAAGTGGAATATGGAATACTAGTCATTTTGATATCAGATATAGACACTTAGAATAATAGTAGTAGAAAATAATTTGCATTATATCTCTGTGTATGGCATTTTAATCTATAATATATATATATATATATTATATAAATATATATATATATATATATATATATATTATAATATTTTTTTTTTTTTTTTTTTTTTTTTTTTTTTTTTTTTTTTTTTTTTTTTTTTTTTTTTTCAGTGGTAGTATTGGCTTGGTAATTATTGTTAATAATAAGTAGAATGTCTGACTTGAGCATCACTACATTCCTTGGCCTCATAACCATAGGTAGAATGCCTAAGTTGAGCATTGCTATATTTCTTGGTATCATATTTCTTTTGTTCTTTCTCATGGCTGTAGTTATTCACCAGTCTAATGCACAGTCTGTGGTTGACATTTAGTGTTTTCAGAAGCTTGTAAGGGCAAGTTCAAGTGTACTGGAAATGACAACTACTGCATCGACCCAAGTTATGTGTGTGACAACCACTTCAACTGTGCCTTTCCATCAGGAGGAGGAGATGAATTGCAGTGTGCAGGTTTGTGTTCTGTACTCCAAAGGGGATTTTTTTAAATGATAAAAATAAAAATCTTATTTCTTTAGCACACATAAAAGTTATAAAAGATGGGTTTACAATATCTTTGGTTACAATTTTGATACATTTATAATACAAATCCAGTTTGATACAATTACAATATACAGTAGGGCCCCACTTTACGGTGTTCCACTAATGTGGACATTTCAGATTATGACCAAAAAACACTATATGGCTCTTGACACCTGATTTTCTAATACGGTCACCATGGGCCACCTGGTTTGTTTACATTGTCTGTGAGCACATCTCTCCAGTATGTCTGGAAACTTTCCAGAATTTCAAGTGTTTTAACGCTATTTCATATTTTATAATACAGTAGGGCCCTGCTTTATGGCGTTTCGCTTTACGGCATTCCACTAATACGGACATTTCAAATTACGACCAAAACTCGTTATATGGCTCCCCTCACGTGACTTTCTAATATGGTCACCATGCGCCACTCAGTTTGTTTATATTCTCCGTGAGCACGACGTCTCCATTATGTCTGGAAACTTTCCAAAATTTCGAGTGTTTTAAAGTTATTTCATGTTTTATATCAACTCTGATAATTATCCTTTTATTAACTTCACACCTTCTCCTAATGTCCACACTCCGAATTTTCTGCATAATACTTACACCACACATTGCCCTTAGACAGGACATCTCCACTGCCCCCAACCGCCTCCTCGCTGCAGCATTTACAACCAAAGCTTCACACCCATATAAGAGTGTTGGTACCACTATACTTTCTTACATTCCCTTCTTTGCCTCCATAGATAACGTTTTTCGTCTCCACATATACCTCAACTCACCACTTGCCTTTTTTCCTTCATCAATTCTATGGTTAACCTCATCCTTCATAAACCCATCCGCTAACACGTCAACTCCCAAATATCTGAAACCTCACTTCTTCCATTCTCCCTCTCTCCAGTGTGATATCCAGTTTTTCTTTAAATCATTTGCTACCCTCATCACTTTAATCTATGTTCACTTTCAACTTTCTACCTTTACACACCCTCCCAAATTTGTCCACTTACCTTTTCAACTTTTCTTTAGAATCTCCCATAAGCACAGTATCATCAGCAAAAAGTAACTGTGTCAACTCCCATCTTGTATTTGATTCCCCATAATTTAATCCCACCCCTCTCCCCAACACCCTAGCATTTACTTCTTTTACAACCCCATCTATAAATATATTAAACAACCATGGTGACATTACACATCCCTGTCTAAGCCCTACTTTTATCGGGAAGTAATCTCCCTCTCTTCTACACACCCTAACCTAAACCTCACTATCCTCATAAAAACTCTTTACAGCGTTTAGTAACTTACTACCTATTCCATATACTTGCAACATCTGCCACATTGCTCCCCTGTCCACTCTATCATATGCCTTTTCTAAATCCATAAATGCAATGAAATTTTTCCTACCTTTATCTAAATACTGTTCACATATATGCTTCAATATAAACACTTGATCAACACATCCCCTACCCATTCTAAACCCTATTTGCTCATCCGCAATCCTACTTTCTGTCTTACCTCTATTTATTTATTATTATTTTTTATTATCACACTGGCCGATTCCCACCAAGGCAGAGTAGCCCGAAAAAGAAAAACTTTCACCATCATTCACTCCATCACTGTCTTGCCAGAAGGGTGCTTTACACTACAGTTTTTAAAACTGCAACATTAACACCCCTCCTTCAGAGTGCAGGCACTGTACTTCCCATCTCCAGGACTCAAGTCCGGCCTGCCAGTTTCCCTGAACCCCTTCATGAATGTTACTTTGCTCACACTCCAACAGCACGTCAAGTATTAAAAACCATTTGTCTCCATTCACTCCTATCAAACACGATCACGCATGCCTGCTGGAAGTCCAAGCCCCTCACACACAAAACCTCCTTTACCCCCTCCCTCCAACCTTTCCTAGGCCGACCCCTACCCCGCCTTCCTTCCACTACAGACTGATACACTCTTGAAGTCACTGTTTCGCTCCATTCTCTCTACATGTCCGAACCACCTCAGCAACCCTTCCTCAGCCCTCTGGACAACAGTTTTGGTAATCTCGCACCTCCTCCTAACTTCCAAACTACGAATTTTCTGCATTATATTCACACCACACATTGCCCTCAGACATGACATCTCCACTGCCTCCAGCCTTCTCCTCACTGCAACATTCATCACCCATGCTTCACACCCATATAAGAGCGTTGGTAAAATTATACTCTCATACATTCCCCTCTTTGCCTCCAAGGACACAGTTCTTTGTCTCCACAGACTCCTAAGTGCACCACTCACCCTTTTCCCCTCATCAATTCTATGATTCACCTCATCTTTCATAGACCCATCTGCTGACATGTCCACTCCCAAATATCTGAATACATTCACCTCCTCCATACTCTCTCCCTCCAATCTGATATCCAATCTTTTATCACCTAATCTTTTTGTTATCCTCATAACCTTACTCTTTCCTGTATTCACTTTTAATTTTCTTCTTTTGCACACCCTACCAAATTCATCCACCAATCTCTGCAACTTCTCTTCAGAATCTCCCAAGAGCACAGTGTCATCAGCAAAGAGCAACTGTGACAACTCCCACTTTGTGTGTGATTCTTTGTCTTTTAACTCCACGCATCTTTCCAAGACCCTCGCATTTACTTCTCTTACAACCCCATCTATAAATATATTAAACAACCACGGTGACATCACACATCCTTGTCTAAGGCCTACTTTTACTGGGAAATAATTCCCTCTTTCCTACATACTCTAACTTGAGCCTCACTATCCTCGTAAAAACTCTTCACTGCTTTCAGTAACCTACCTCCTTCACCATACACCTGCAACATCTGCCACATTGCCCCCCTATCCACCCTGTCATATGCCTTTTCCAAATCCATAAATGCCACAAAGACCTCTTTAGCCTTATCTAAATACTGTTCACTTATATGTTTCACTGTAAACTCCTGGTCCACACACCCCCTACCTTTCCTAAAGCCTCCTTGTTCATCTGCTATCCCATTCTCCGTCTTACTCTTAATTCTTTCAATAATAACTCTACCATACACTTTACCAGGTATCCTCAACAGACTTTTTTTTTTTTTTTTTTAACAAGTCGGCCGTCTCCCACCGAGGCAGGGTGACCCAAAAAAGAAAGAAAATCCCCAAAAAAGAAAATATTTTCATCATCATTCAACACTTTCACCACACTCACACATTATCACTGCTTTTGCAGAGGTGCTCAGAATACAAGTTTAGAAGCATATACGTATAAAGATACACAACATATCCCTCCAAACTGCCAATATCAAACTTATCCCCCTATAATTTTTGCAGTCTCTTTTGTTCCCTTTGCCTTTATACAAAGGAACTATGCATGTTCTCTGCCAATCCCTAGGTCCCTTACCCTCTTCCATACATTTATTAAATAATTGCACCAACCACTCCAAAACTATATCCCCACCTGCTTTTAACATTTCTATCTTTATCCCATCAATCCCGGCTGCCTTACCCCCTTTCATTTTACCTACTGCCTCACGAACTTCCCCCACACTCACAACTGGCTCTTCCTCACTCCTCCAAGATGTTATTCCTCCTTGCCCTATACACGAAATCACAGCTTCCCTATCTTCATCAACATTTAGCAATTCCTCAAAATATTCCCTCCATCTTCCCAATACCTCTAACTCTCCATTTACCTCTAATCCTTTCAATAAAAACCCTACCGTACACTTTTCCTGGTATTCTCGGAAAACTTCTTTCTTCTTTCTTTCAACACACCAGCCGTATCCCACCGAGGCGGGGTGGCCCAAAAGGAAAAATGAAAGTTTATCCTTTTACATTTAGTAATATATACAGGAGAAGGGGTTACTAGCCCCTTGCTCCTGGCATTTTAATTGCCTTTTACAACACGCATGGCTTACGGAGGAAGAATTCTGTTCCACTTCCCCATGGAGGACTCGGAAAACTTATTCCCCTATACTGTAATTTTATAATCTTTTTTGTCCCGCATGCCAGTCCCTAGGTACCTTCCCCTCTTTCATACATTTATTGAGCAAAAATACCAACCACTCCAACACTGTATCATCCCCCTGCTTTTAACATTTCTGTCATAATCCAGTGAGTTCCAGCTTCTTTACCCCACTTCATTCTATGTAATGCCTCACACACCTCCCCCACAATCACATCCTGCTCTTCTTCACTCCTAAAAGATGTTATACCTCCCTGGCCAATGCATGAAATTACCGCCTCCCTTTCTTCGTTGACATTTAAAAGTTCCTCAAAATATTCCCACCATCTACCCAATACCTCCAGCTCCCCATCCACTAACTCATCTACTCTGTTTTTAACTGACAAATCTGTTCGTTCCCTAGGTTTTCTTAACTTGTTTATGTCACTCCAAATTTTTTTCTTATTTTCATCAAAATTTCTTGACAGTGCCTCTCCCACTCTATCATCTGCTCTCCCTTTGCACTCTCTCACCACTTTTTTCACCTTTTACTCTCCATAGACTCTGCTCTTCTTATAACACTTCTGCTTTGTAAAAACTTCTCATAAGCTACCTTTTTCACCTTTATCACACCCTTTACTGCATCATTCCACCAATCACTCCTCTTTCCTCCTGCACCCACCCTCCTATAGCCACAAACTTTTGCCCCACATTCTATTACTACATTTTTTAAAACTATTCCAACACTCTTCAACCCCTCCCCCTACTACTCATACTTGCACTAGCCCACCTTTCTGCCAATAGTTGCTTATATCTCACCCGAACTTCTTCCTCCCTTAGTTCATACACTTTCACCTCTCTCTTACTTGCTGTTGCCATTTTTCTTTTGTCACATCTACCTCTTACTTTAACTGTAGCTACAACTAAATAATGATCCAATATATCATTTGCCCCTCTATAAACATGTACATTCTGAAGCCTACCCATCAACCTTTTATCCACCAATACATAATCT